TTTCAAACTGCATATATTCCCCTGTATTCATCAAGAAATGAACAGACCATAAAATGTCATTGTTTCTATTAAGTCAGGACTCTCAGCATGTGTGTATGCAATAAAAGGAAGTTTCAAGAGAATATCCATCTTACAAAGCTTTTCATGTGTGCCAAATAGAGAAGAAATTGTTTCTGAATTTAAGAATAGTCAACACAACTTGAAAGACCTTAAGATTTACACATGATAGTGAATGCATTTTAATGAGAGCCATGGATGTCCAAACATAAGTTTAATCATGACTATCTGGTGGTATTATTTTTTTTTTAGAAAAACCATTATCATGTGTCTTAATTTGCTAAGTGAGGCATTTGAAGAAAGAATGTATCAAAAATACGAAATTTCTTTTTAAAATATTACCTAGTACAGAAGTTAACCCTGAAAATGACATTAAAAGTGGTCCCTTTGCTATCACTTCATCTGCTGAGTTTTTGTTACTGTATGTTCATGCTTTTTCTTAAAATAGTCATTGTTATTCATTTCAACATAAAATTCTTAGAACTTTGGCTTAACCTTTTATTGAGGAATAACTGCTAATATATTAGTACATGTGTGGGGAATTACACAAGACCAACACATGGGTCTGAATGAGCTATCATCAGTATGCTATAAATCACTCAGCAGACAAGGTCTACATAACTTATAGTAGCTTCAATGGCCAACGAGAACAAATAATATACATATGCGGTTTATGCCCGCCTCCAATGCCTTCACATTTCTTTAAGATAATACTTACGTATTTAGAAATGTTTTAGAGCTTATTAGAGAGTTAATTTCGCATTCTTTAGTACCACCAAATCAAAATTATTTTCCAGAATTTATCGGGAGTTATCTAAGAGTTATCCAGACCTAATTATTATCATACAAAAATAAAATCAAATATAAGAATTTTAAATAAATTTTTCTTATTGGAACGTTATAACTGAATCATTCCATATATTTTTAAAATCAGAAGATCAGAATCTGGAAATCAAAAAAGGATTATAAAACAATAACAAGTTTTATAAATAAAATGTCAGCAGGAAAAGGCACTTAAGCCCTGCATGTAACTAGTCTGTATTCTCCACAATCCTTATCAAATGAAACTACTTGTCCTGCACACACATAGAGAAAGGTGTCAGAATAAAACCAAATCCAAATACTTATAAAAAAATCAATGTGGTCACCAAATGTTTCATGTCTCTAAGAATTTCTTTAGAGACTGCTGAGAGAAATCGGAGATGTCTGCTGTCACATTTTTAGTGCAGGAGTGTTATAAGGCTATTGAAGAAATTCCCTTTTTTTATTTTGACTAAAAAGCAAAAACAATTGTCATTACAGCAAAAGCTGACAAAGTAATTAAATGAATGATAACAAAATCTCAGCAGGGAAGTGCTCATTTATTCGAATTTATTTGGGAGCATGATTTCACACGTAAACCAAATTACCTAATTTTTACTCACATCAAAAAGTGGTAACCTATAACAACTAGTTACTCTAAATAAAGGAAAAGGCCAGTACTTTGAACCGATATCACAGAAGAAAATGAAATTACTAACATTGCAGGTTGCCATGATATTGACAGCTTCCTAAATATGCCATTTTGCCCTGTGAAAATACTGCAGTGAAACTCGCCCAATAAAAGAATCCCAGTAATTTCTATGTAACAGTGTCTTTAAAGCTGGAACAGATTTCCCACATTCTATATATTATTTATTTATATTCATAATTCATGTCAGTCAAAGTGTACCAACAGATAAAATAACTGCCGCCACAGAATGGAGTAGACATGTGATAATCGATTTTGGTATTTTTTTCTTCCTGTGTATTACATGTGACTGATAGCTAATTTTTAAATTGTTTTCATGTCGTAGAGATCTGGAATTAAATGGCATTTTGGTCCACTTTCAAATCTGAACTGAAGGATGAGATAGCCTGTATGCAGATGCTCTGAGCTGCCAGTAAGATGTCTCCAAAATGGTATTTTTCATGCTTTAGAAAATTGTTTCATTTTGCCAAAAAGTTAATGCTGAACTTTGTTAATGTACCTGTGGTAATCAGCTGGCTTTTATTTGTAGCCTCCACATTCAGTAGGAATTTAAAACTTAAATGTTTCTCATTTTTAATTTCTAACCTCTAAAACATCAATTTATTGATAAGCATTTTGAAAAAAAAACTGGAATAATGAAAATTGAAGAAAGCTTATTTTTGGCTTAATGTTGGTGTAAATTCTAAGTCATCTTGCCTACTTAAAATGTATTGGAGACAGGTAATTGAGAATTAATAAGTATGCCAAAGTATCCTTTATATTTTATAATTTACATTTCAAATGAAACTCATTTAAATCAATCAATGTTAAACAAGGTTAAAATTTACAATTTTCAAAATTTTTCTTGCAATTAAAAATTATGTTACAGCTTTAAAAACAGTTCTTAATGTTCTATTTTATGTGGAACATCAGCTTACATTCAGGATATCAAGGCTATAATTACAAAACTAGTAACTAACACTGATTGACGATGACTTTTTCACATGACTTGGGATCAGCAATAAAACCTGTTTTATTTTCTGCAAAGTTGATACTACCTTAATTTGGAGAGTAGAGGGATATCCTTTGCTTTCCTAAATCATTTCCCTAAATTAACATAAAGTAGATATAAGTTTTGGTATTGGCAGGTTGATTGATAATCAGTGAACAAATACATGAATATAGATACGACCATCATTATAAAATAAGAGTGATGACTCCAAGAGCAGTTATACATTTGAGAATATTAATTCATATCTTATTTTGTTGACATTTTTTGTTTGCTTATTCAGGATAGTAAAAGACAGCTTTCTGACTAAACAGTATTTCAGATGCTAAACAATTCTTTTTTAATGGCTTACATTGGCAGTTCACAATCTAAAAGCATAACCACATCAGGAAAAATCACAGGTAGACCACTCTGGATTTTGAAGACTTTTTGCTTCTTGTAGAGCATTTGAATTCATATTATGAAATATGTCTATTTTGCTGAGAGCTAATAATTGGGAGGTTATAATCAAATTCATGCCTTGAAATAGATTTTTATCTTTTAATGTCAGCCTAATGTCTTGCCTGGCACTTTTATTCTCTTAAAAGGATAACTTTATATCCACTAGCTTATTATAGATTAATCATTCTTACATGTGAAGCTGGCTGTTTTTTTATTTCATGAAATATTGCATATTTATTTCCAATAGAATTCTTCCCTTGATGATCAGAATTGGAACCTGTGTTTCTAAATTAAAAAAAATAAATGGCACTTTGTACAACACCTTCACATGAGAGGTATTTAAAAATACAAAGCTAATATTTTTCATGAGTTTCTGGAGATACAAATTCAAAATGCTGAAGTTCCATGAGCTTCTGATTTGAAGAGACTTGTCTTTAATGCACAGTTGTATTTTCTGTAGAAGTTACCTGATGTCTTCAAAAACCCGACTGGTCTAGAAAAATGACTCTTTGAGACAGTCATGATTCTTTTGTTGTTGTTTTTTTTAAAAAAAGACAAAACAGCAGTGAAGATTTTAGCTCTTTAATGAGCAAAGATCATGTCTCTTAGCATTGGACTAATAGTCATTATCCAGATTATCTGTATTTCACGCAATGACCAGTGACATGGCCAAGATGTACAAAGTTGTTTCCATCAAGTAGTATACAATTTTTTTTCTTTTGTATAATAAGCTTTCATTCTTGAAAAAGAGTAACTGGAAAGAAAGATTTCTGTTACTGCAGTTAGTTTGTCAGAGAAAGTTCTTTGCATTATCTTACAAACTATCAAAATTGCTAGTCATCTGAAAAAATGTAAAAAAAAATCACATAACTTTAGTCTAATAGAAATATAGTACAGGTAAGAGAGAAAGTATTTATCAGGATGTGCTCTTTAAGTCCATCTCATTTTTTTTAATATAAATGTACATCTGATTACATATACAAACATTTGGAAAGGTCTGTGATAGACTGTTACTGGTAAACAAGGGGATGAAAATTTCCTGTGGTCTCGGAGTATTCATTTAAAATCACACATACACGGAAGACCAGAATCTTCCAGATGTTGACTCTCCTAGGTTCTCTAAGTTGCACTCTCCCGAGATTTTGTGAATAAATTCCAGCAAAAGAACCTCAGTGAGAAGGATAATTGATGTGAAGTGGGACATAGTTTAATATTGAATTATTCGTAGTGAACATTTTTTCATGCAACATGAGTAAATTAAGAGAACTGCAATCAGAATGGTGGTATTGGGGAATCCTCATAACATTAAAAAAAAAAAAAAACTACTAAAATGACTCTTTGGACGCAGTTCACCTTACCAGAAGAACAAAATACAGAGTAACATAAACCACAGCAAATTATAGAACCTGTGACACATGCCCAATTAGGTTACATTTCTATAAATTATTTAGATGGGATGAAAAGAACATTAAAAACACGTGAAATTGTTTCTGGGATTCGTATCAGCGAGTAATCACCGCTATACCTAGAGTTTCTTCGAACACCTTTAAGAACTAATTCCTTCTATTATTTAAACTACTGTGGATTATTTTATTGTAATTACTTTTGCCCGTTAAAATCTTCTTTAGGTTCTGCCAATTGGTACAGGAAGCTTCTATTAAAAACTCCAATGGGATGAGAAGAATTTTAATTACGGCTTAATCAGCAGCACAGCCACCAAGCATATAAATTATCATGCACATCGTGCTAAAAATATCCAGTTTCCTTTATCCCCACAACTTTATACTGACAGCACTTATGTGATAATGTTGTACCTGCCAGTCTTTAAACTCGTTTTACTGGCAAATATCAGCATGAGCCTCTGCTAAGGCCATTAACAGCATTGGTGCTTTGTGTACTTATCCAAATATGTAAATATGGTCTACACAATAAAACAGCTCCAAATAAAAACTGGTGAAAGTTATCTGACATTCCATTGGTGTGTCCCTTGTGCATATTCATAGTTGTTTTGATTTTTATTTTTGATATTTCAGACACAGTTCGCTCCTGTTTGGTGTTCCACATGCCTACTTCCATTATGTAACTTAAATCTTCAAAAAATTAATTCTTGAATGTGAATGAAAAAGTATCATTCAGAGCAATTGCTTCAAGCAACTGAAATTTGTTTTTTTTAAAGTTGCTTTGTGTATATCTATGTACAATTCATTTTTTCAAAACCCCCAAAGTTCTTGATATGTATATTCACCATAATATTCCTTCTTATTTAAATATTAAGAGTCTTGTAGGTTGAAAGCCAAGGAATCTTCAGTAACCTTTTACTGCAATCCATCAAAAAATAGTTTGTTTCTCTTATCTGGCTATACCCTGGTTGTTGAATGTGAATGGGGGTGGGGATGAGGATGAGGCAGAGTGTTGTTCTGTCCTCCAGTAAATGTATTGAATGTGTGTAAGGGCTGAATCCCTGGTATAGTGTTGGGAATCATTGTGATGGTGTTGGGTGTCATTAGGGGAACATCATCAGGTGACCGCCTCATAGCTAGTGTGTAATCTGGGGGGCAGGCGGTCCGCAGAACCACCTCATGTGGATGGATGGACTCACATTCATGATCCAGATCAGTGTGCTTCACCTGCAGGGACATGATTTCTTCCTCTTGTGCATGGGTCAGATCGTTGGTCGTAGTGCGCTGTGGGCTGCAGCGCCGGTGAACATCATGTCTCCTTTTATCCTTTTTGTAGTACAGGGCTGCAAAAGCCAAGATGTTCAGAAACAGCAGTGATGCCCCCACTGCAATGGTGACGCTCAGCTCTGTAGAGTAGTCCCTTTGGTCCACAGAAAATGGACTTGGTTGTTGCTTGGGATCATCCTGCTTGGTAGTCGGAAAGGCTGACGTGACAGGTATGGAATTTTTTCTTGTAGGTCTGAGAGTGATATCCGTGGATGGCACTTTAGTTGTTGTCGAGGTATACTGAGAAATGTCATTCAGATTATGCAGGTGAGGTACCAACTCTAGCCACAAGTTGACCTTATTCGCTCTGTAATGTTCTTTAACTCTGGGCTTTAAACCAATGTGGAGATAAAGCTGGTCTTTTTGGGAATATCTGGTCCAGGCTACCTCTTCAAAGCGGTTGGGTTTCGTGTGGATGAATTTTGTATCTTGAGGAACTGGTTGATTTGGGTCACTAGGAAAAACCATAAGAACACAATTATTTTATTGTTTTTCTTAAAATGGTACAGTTTAACATCTAACTGGAAGGTTAACATTAACTCAAATGAATGTGGAAATTTAAATCTCATAACACGCACTTATTAGATAGGTGGCTATCTTACACAAGAATGTCTGACAATCTTTTTCTATGAATTTAGAGATGGGCTACAATCTACTTGAAGTAAGTTAAATGTCGAAAGCATGAGGTATCTTATAGACAAACGAGAAGATTTGGCATGGGATAATGGAATGGCTTGATAATCTAGAATTGGCAAATGTAGATTGCAGTTCTTTTGTTGCTGTATACCAGCAACAGATACCAATAAGAAGCTGTCAGAACCTCAGGACTCTGCACAAAATGTGGCTAACAGTACCTGACATGCACACCTCACATAGTGTTTTGGAAGGACCAAAGAACGTACAGTATTATAAACTGGAAGGACTACACAGTGATGATTATTTACTAGTAAGCGATAATGAATCCAATGTAATTGAAAAACCAAAGCCACATTTAATTGTCGAGTAGCACAACAGGGATACGACTATCAACCTTTCTTAAACTTCTAAATAGTAAGAATGAATAAAGTCACGAGACACTACAATATAGAATTAGTTTTCAAAAGGGGCCAATATATTTCTGATATTGATATGTGAAATGATTTGAGCATAAAATTTGTTTTAAAATGCTGAAAGGGCATTTTTATAAATAATATAGCACATTTTACTCCTTGGTACATACCCAGTTTTAGCAAAATTTGTCCAGTATGTCATTACGACTGCGCTCAGCATCACATCATTTTTGGAGAAATTGCAAGGGAATAACTCTGTAGGGCCAATCATGGGAATTCCCAGGACATAGGGAACCTCATCTCCATGGGCTGCATCAGCCCAAGCTGGAACTTGATCTGTTTGGCAATGATGGTAAAAGGCATAGAAATATGTAGGTGAACCAAAATTTGAGTGAAGATCTGCTGTAGCTACAGCTGGTGCCACCCACTGATGGTCTGTAAACAAAGCCAATAATGTCTTCCTTCTAGTTTCCGGGTTATGACGATCAGCCCAGTCAGTATACATGAACTTAATGGTTTCTCTCAAAACATCCTTGCCTTCAGGGTATCCATATAAGTTATCAACAAAATTGGAAACAGCAAAGTCAAAATCACTAGCTGATATACCATCATCGCTATCTACTATATTCTCCACAAATTTTAATCCTTCCCCTTGGTTAACTCCTAGCATTATGTCGTAGTTGAGAAACTCTCCTTGTTCCATCAATATCTGAGGATCATCTGGTATTACATCTCCATCAATCACAGGTCCGAAGGCTATGTGGTATCGAGCTGGTTGAATATCTTGATCAACGAGTTCTTTATAAGGCTTCTTCTGGAGGCATTCCACTAACTCTACTGTGTCTGAGACATTGCAGCCAACTTTTGTGGCCAGCATTCTAGCATACTTTGCAGGTTGGAAGCTAACAGCCCAGCTAGAAAGGGCTGTTCCACTTTGAGCGATTGCTCGTTGAAAAAGTCCTATGGGAAAATCAACAAACAGTTTCAGATGACCTTTAAAGAACATGGTAAAACAGTAACACCCAATATTTTAGACACATTAATATATTCATATTCAAGTTTCCATATGTAACTTAGTAAACAGGAAGATAGAGACAATTTGCCTAATAATAGGTACACAAAGTCATCCCCAGGGTATAATGAGTTACAGAAATGGACCTTAAATCTGGTGCATTGAGTGGTACCTGTTTCAGGGGTTTAGAGGTTAGGAATATACTCAGTTTCAAATGGGTGAGAAGCAAAGAGGAGGAGAATTTAGAAATTCTAGTAGTAAGAAGTCTCCAATCTTTTCTTCCAGTATTAATTTTGTTTTCACCAGTGCCAGCCAAATGGAGTTGACTTGACTTCCCGTTAACAGATTTCATATTATCAATTTGGGCTGTTTCATCCAATTTGACTGCATCTGGACTATATTCCTTCAAAGTGCTCTATTTATTTGTTTTAAAACAGATGAGACTTCATACACTTATTGGGGCTGGGAATTTGTTCGTACCCTGGGGATGGCACACACAACAGATACCACTTTAGACATACTTTTCCAGATCTTCATGTCAGACATAGTACACTGAATATATGTCTTCTAGAAGAAGACCGCACATTTCAAGTGCCTTCACTGGGCTTAAAAAAAGTATCATCATCAGGATTTAGTGGTGAGTGACTTTTTTTTTCCACTCCTAAGTGTGAACTGCTACATTTTCTCATAAAATATGAAATATGCATGGTCCATTGCTTCTTACTTAATTGCATTTAAGAACTGTAAATTATGGCCCCATATTTAGTTTGATAAAGCTTGTGTGCCATTCAAATTTGTAAATTGACTTTATCTGTTCATTACAGTATTTCTAAGTTCTTGTTTTAAAAATGTAATTTACCTATTTTTAAAAATTTTATTTTGTTAGTAGTTTTCAAATACAGCTTTGTTGCTCAGTTATTTAAACACCTGATTAGTTATTCATGTGTATTAATGTGATAAGAACTCTTGTTATAAAGGCACTAAAGCAATGCCTGAGTTAAGTAAAATTTCAGATTTCTTGCAGCAGGCATTCGTTTAAAGATCTTAAAAATGTGTTCCTAGATGATTCTAAAAATTCCAACAAGTCAAGCAACATTAACTTTGTATTGGTTTTCACCATCTTTGTAAATATATTTTTAGTTTGCTAGAGCAAAATGAGCTAAAGCAAATAATTCCTATATAGTAATTAACAAAATTATATAGGCTGTTTGCCAACATTCGCTTGGAGAAATATTTTCCTAATCAAAAGTTTTACTGCTGAAATAAACTTGGTGCTCCCTACAACATTCTTTTCTAGTTCAGGGTTTCAATTACATTGAATATTTTTTAAAATGTGAAGGAAAATGTACAAAATATGTGTCATTGCCTGAAAAATACCATTTAACTTCTACTGGGAAACCCCAGTGACGTAAGGTAGTGAGAGTGTTTGTCATGTATACGTGATGCCTGTTGAATTGTGGTGGATGCAGGCCTGAGGACTGCTACAGCCCTCACTGAGTTTGCAACCTTTAAAAACTGTCTGGATTTAAATCGGTCAGTCTGATGGTTTCAAGATATTTGCTGAGTGCCTTTTGGCCAATCAGGCAGCCCAGGCTGGAGATGGGGTTGAGACTAGACCAAACTTAGGTCCTTGTTTCTGATTAGTTGCAGACAGATGTTCCTGAAGAATGTGATGGGATTTTAAATTTTCAGCTCTTGTAATTATTTGGTACAGTTTCTCATATTGTCATTTGATGACCTTTCTATGATTATCGATCCAATGCTGGTTTCATATTGACTGAGCAAGTAGTTGTGTCCAGTTTCAATCAATTGACTCTGTGCTATGTAGGCTGTTTATTATTAACTCAGCTGACTATTGGCACTTGTGCAATACTCAGGCTGGGACAACTTAACCCCTTTTACTGAACAAGCAATCCCGTCCACCTCTAATCTACATCCGGTTCCAAAGGAAACCATTTCAGAATAAACCAAAGTATCTATGAAGTTGAAAATAGCCTCATCTGTCATTTTGTCATTCTGATTGAGAGTCCTGCTAAAATAAATGAGATATTATAAAATTACCAATAAATTTAGTCTGTACACAGTGCATCCTTTGCCATGTATATAAATTCTCAGTGATTAACTATGCCTTTTCAGCTCTTCATCAATGTATCTTTGACATCAAAACCAAATATTCTAAGTTTAGTTTTCATATGATAAAATTTGGATGCTACATGAATTAAACTTCTTCATGTGTATAAAATGATAACAAAAAAGCAGACAGTATAAGATGGTCTATGTTTATGCCTACTTAACCGTCCTCTCTATCATGTATAAATAATGGAGAGAAAGCATTTTCTTCACACACTTCAGTCAAAGTGGTCATCTGTAGCTATTTCAAATGGAGAATGCACTGAGAATGGTTGGTTAATGGTAAAGTGGAGTCCATAAAAGCAGCATGATGCACCTTAGGAACTTTGGAGAAAAGAATGTCAAAGCCACAAAATGGAAACAAGGAAAAAAAAATCTGAGTGCTCCGTGATTCCTTGTGAAACTAATGGGGGAAAAATACTTTTGGAGTTACAAAAAAAAAAAAAAGGAACAAAATCAAAAGCATTTTTCCTTCTGATCAAAAGTTCTCCGGTGACCTGGATGCTTTGACAATTTTGGATCATGCATGCAAAAAAAAAAAAAATTGAATACCCATTCTCTACTCAGACAAATGAAATTATGTGTTTTTGCAGGCAAACTGGCTCATGACCATTTTGTTAACTTCTTACTAATAAAGGATTTAAAATGGCTACTATCTTGAAAAAAATTTTATAGAGTTTCTGTGTTAAAAATCTTGTCTTTGATTTTGATTCTGGAATAAACAGTTGGCAGAACTGTAAATGCCTTTGCTTGATTTTCCCGAAATCACCCACTGAAGGAAGGCAAAGGGCCTGCACTGCTGGCTATTCTGAAGTGTGCTTGAAACAGAATTTTTATGAAGTTCCACGGGAGACAATGAAAAGAGTTTGACAAAAATTTAAACATGCACAGAAAAAGCTGAAGAAACAGTTTAAAACATTTATTGAGTTCAACCTAAGACCCAGCTTGAACAGAGAAATAGTACAGAGCATAACATACTACTGATGGTGGTGGCATGCAGACACCAAAATTGTCAAAATTTGCAACCTGCATAATACCTTTGGTTGAATTGCTCCAACGGTTACCTTCAGAATAATGGGATAAAGTCAGCAGATTGACACATGAACCCCCAGCGCCAGATCCAAAAACGGTGATTCTTAAGGGGTCACCACCAAAGAATCCAATGTTCTCACTAGTCCATCTCAAAGCCTGTATGAGATCAAGAAGTCCGTAGTTTCCTTTTGCAGCCTGATCCCCTGTACTCAAGAAACCTGGAAAACAAAAAAAATGCAAAACATACTTTTGACACCTGCTTGAGTTGACACCAACCAAAAACTCATCAGGTTTAAATGCAAAGGAAGCAGTTGTGATCAGAGTGAATACATTCTGAGTTCTTTAGCAAACATCCTTCAGTAAAATAAGATTTTTGTGTGTGTGTGTGAGGAGGAGTAGTGAATTGGAGTTTAAAAAATTAATTTACCCTCCCCTCTCCCCCCAGTGCTTCCCAAGTTATCCAGATAAAAGATGCCTGGAACAAAGGAGTGAAAAGGTAAAAGTATTGAAAGACCTCAAGGAGAACTTTCTGAGGTCAAGTTATTTGATGAAAAGATTTAATTTGTAATCATGTGACACAGGATGATGAGTGTTTTGTATTCAGTATTTGTGTAATTTTTACTTGCTCATGATATAATCTGGTTGAATATTTTCTGTTTTTCTAAAATTTTAATATCTACATAACTGAATACACTTAAGATATTCTCTGTTTTAACATGATCACTAATTTGAATTGCACTGGAATTATTCATTTTCATTCTTTTTAAGTATAATGTTTTGTGGTCTGTGTTAGGAAATAAATTGCTACAGATACTCAGCTGGATTTAGCTTAGTTGACAGTTACTGTATATGCAGTGGAGTGGCAGGAAATAGGTGTGTGTGATGGGATTAATTTTCTTTTATGAGGGAAATGGTTTTTTAAACCTTATATAATAAATTATATAGAGCATTTTGCATACATGTGTTCTTGTACTTTATTAAGAACCATGAAAATGGCTCACTATAAAGAATCCCTGTGCTATCGGTAATTTGGGTCACATTTTGGAATGCCATAGATAATTGTTTACAGTTGCTCAATGAGCAAACACCATAGAATTATCAAAAGATTTTGAAATATTCAGACTCTTATTATATTTGGAATGAATAGATCTCTTCCATAAAGTGTTCTGAGGGATCATGAGGAATATATACAGTGTCAGAATGGAGTAAGGGAGGGTATTATAGGACCCTGAGGATGAAGAATGGCAAGGATAATTTTAAAAGGTAATGCTCAGAAAAAGAATATTGTTGCAGTAGGAACTGAGTGATTTTCCTGAGAATGAAGTTGGAGGGAGAGACAAAGTACTGCTTTAGCATATTCTAAAATATTTATATTTAGTATAATTAGCATATTACTTTAAACATACTACTTGTTAACCTAATGCCTTTTGTAATGTTTCTCCATTTGGTGTAATGGAAAACCAGAAGGTATTTCATGAACTATCCCATTTTATAATCATTCCTATGTTGTGTTGAGAATATTTAAGTCCTCATTATATATAATTTCATTAATTATACTCAAGGAAATCATTCCATTCTCAAGAAGTTTACACAGAAGTAATCTTAATTAATTCTCCCTAACTGCAGAGCCATTACACAGACTCAACATAATGAGTCAAAAAAGCATGACAAGATTATTTCGTTTCAATTGAAATATACCTAATGCTTTTATAAAATCATCTAAGAACTTGATTGTCTTTTGCTCGTTGAAAAAGTCCTATGGGGAAATCAACAGACAGTTTCAGATGACCTTTAAAGAACATGGTAACACCCAATATTTTAGACACATTAATATATTCATACTTAAATTTCCATATGTAACTTAGTAAACAGGAAGATAGAGACAATTTGCCTTAATAACTCCGTATAGCCCCCACCAGGCCTGCATCCTACCCTGGTTCCCATGCTTGCCACTGTGTGCCGCAGACTTGTCCATGTTAGATCTTCCTCACTCGTGACTATTTCACGTGTATGCTGTTAACGCTCTCCTTGTTACCCCTGCTCTTATCTTTCTGAAACCAACTGATAATTATTAGAGTGAATATAGAGAATCATTCTGAGTTTTACATTAGGCAAAAAGATAGCTATTCTTCAAGACTAGTCAACCAATGAAGTTACATTTTTGTCACACATGAAGGTTGCTGCATGCTTGCTTCAATTCTTTAATTCCTGATGCTCTATTCAAACAACATTCCTGTGGTCAGAGAAGGGCTAAACTGAGCAAAGTGGAGCAAACTGCTTCCTCAGACAAGACAGGCTTATAATTACCAAGCGATGTGCATCTGGCATTATTCTTTTACTTGGCAAGCTTAAAGTTCTCCTTTCATTGACTTAGCTGCTACTTTCCTAGCAGCAGAATCATTTCAGAATGCTCTAGTTGCAACTTTGTGCTGAATGTTATCACAATACATTAGCCACAGGAAAACCCAGTTTTGCACAAGTAGTTGAGCGTTGTTGCTTACCTACATGATTGCTTTGAGAAACAAAAGTGTTTATTTCCCTAATGCCATTTGAGGGTATTTCACTAATTAACTAATTTTGCAGGTCATTACCAACACTGACCTTTGGAACTTGACCTTCACTGTAAGTTCTTAGAAATGGATGTTGTAACATCATATTATTTTTGTTACACAGAATAGTGATTATTGGGGGAACTTCATTTTCAAGGCAAGCACCAATATTTTCCAGAAGAGAATTCAACTGTTTAATTTACTTGACTCACGAATACAAGCTCACAAAAAAATCAGCATTCTCAAAACTCAGGTATGCTGAAAACATTGCCGTTTCCTAGGTCAACTACAATCAACAGCTATTTGTTCAAATAGTTATACAAACATCATTTAGTACATTCATGCCTCCTAAACAATCATTCTATCGTCAAACAGGTCCAATTTTTGTTCCCACGTGGAACTACTAGTTCTGCGGGTCTGACGAAATCTACTGGGCTGACTTTGCTTCTCTTTATTGAATCTGGCCACTGTGAGTGCGTTTAGGTGTTAGAGAGAAACTAGCAACTTAATATGGATCCACAAGTTCTATGAAAGGAAAAATGAGATCACCCTAAAGTAAACTGGGCAAGGGAAAAATACGTGAAAACAGAACAGTACTGTTTTTAGCTGCTGAACTCCTGAACGACTGATATATACTGAACTCGGCTAGTTATCTGATAGGTGGGCCCTAGGAAGTCTGGAGGGAGATAGTTCTGTTTAACCTGCAACAGCTTTGTCCATTATTGGTTGTTCCATTCTGCGTTCAGATCTCTTGAAAAGCAATCACATGCGTATCTTTTGAATATGCAGCAGAAAGGAAGTAGAGTGCCTCTTTGAAAAAAAAAAAGCCTAAATGTAATCAGACAGGAAGCAATATGAAGACTGTTTATTTATAAGATGACATCTAGAATGCCAAATCTTTTTTTTTTTAATGTGGATGCACCTTCCCCCATTTTAGGGATTCTGTTGCACTGTAGTTAAATGTGTTTGGAAAGGTTAATTTTTGAAAACATTAAATAGTTTTTGGTATTCACATTCTGAAATTCAGGCTATAAAAAGAAGAGCGTTCTGCAGTATTTATTAATACTTCTTTCTGGATACAAATGACTGTGATGGCTCTTCAAGTAGATAAATACTTCAAAATGTAGACCACATTGAACATTAAAGCACTAGGCTTACAGACATGAGACTTTGAATGACAGACATCCTTCTAGAGACTAGGGAATATGGATCAGAAAGATAGCTCATTAAGGCTTTTGCATCTGAAATATAACAGGATTTATAACTGTTGGATTAAAACCTCAAATCCTCCTAGCTAAAAACTCCAACTGGAAGTCCCATATGCCAATTCTTCTTATCATTTCAGTTGCCAGGTCCTGTCAGTTTTTCTTCTGGGTTCTAATTCCTTCTTTAAACCTCACATCACTACCTTATTTTTGATTTTCCCCTATTCTTCGTAAATTCCTAAAACTCATATAATTACCCACTTAGTCTCTGAAATTTTAGAAAATGTATCTACCTTTTGTTACCAGACTCATTGCTGAAAAAACTGTCCTCCTAGCAATGTGGGGCCACTGCTATATGAAAATAAAATGCTTGTGTAGGGATAAGACTGGGCAGTTTCCCCTTATATTCTTTGAAGATAGCATAAACATAAAGATTAAAGAATTTATTATGAGATAATTTGATGTGTAATGACTCATCTTTAGGAAGAAAAGAATTAATGACCCAGGCTTGTGACCAGTGACTGTTGGATATGTTGGAATATTGTGAAGAGGAGATCTCACCTTTAACAGATCTCCGGAAATAAGACATACTTATTTATTTAGATGCTTCTGGGTTTGCAGTGTCTAGATTCGAAAATTTAACCAATCCCCTCGTAAACAAATGTGATAGTTTATAACAAAGTTTAATCAACTTCAACATTTTATCTTCCCCCAAATAAGACTGAATTACTTGTTATTACTTTGAATGTAGATGAAGATGAGAAAAAAAAGTTCCTGATTTAGTTAACTATGACTCATGTACACTGGTCCCGTTTTAGAAACTGTCCCAGCCCCAGATTCCATGATCCTTATTTCCACTCTGCACACCAACAGGGAGTTGTTATTGTTCATACTGCTTGGTTCGCATGTTACAAGAAGAGTTAATCTCATACTGTTTGAAGCAAAACAAACCATAACTTGTCAATACTGACAAAAGTCCTCCATGATTTTGTCACAGAGTGCATGGTAACTGTTTTAAAGGGGGTCAGAAAGAGTCCCGGGTGGCATCAGTCTGCGACCACACATGAGCAGCTTAGCGCAGAACATTAGGCTGAGAATGTAAAATGTGAGATGCTATTCGGATTCCCCCAGCAGTGATCACTGTGGAAGGAGTCGCAGACTCAGGACAGATTGAGTGCGTTAGTAAGTCATGGTGTGAGCAAGTCATCAGTCTTACTGAGTCTTGGCTTCCTAAAGGAAAACAAAAGTGGCTTCCCTACAGAACAATCATTATTTAAAGAGATAAAAATTTTGGCACACATGATTGCCAATATATGTTGAGTGAAAGTGTTTTTGGCTTTAATCAATTGAATCTGGTAAATGCCTTTTTGTCTTCTATTTTATTTTAATAAAACAGTTCTTGCACTTATTATTGAAAACAATTTCAGTTCAAAGAGTTAAAGAGAAAAAATGTAAGCAAAATAC